TATATATATATATATATATATATATATATATAAAGAAGTTGCCCTACTCGGTATTAGAGGCGTAGGCCAAACCAGACGCGGACCGCTACATCACATAGCGCCTGCTCCACTGGCTGCAGCTACTAAAATTACGACCAATGTTGGCCTACGTACACTACGCGGTGAAGCGTACGTCTTCTGTTGTGTACATCCACTGTGGGGTGTATACACACTGTCAGCTGAGTCCTTTACAGTTGACTTAAAAGCAAAAAAGAAAGGCGGTTGCACAGTTGGGCGCAAAGTGGGCGCAAAGTGCTTAAAAGTCCCCAAGCAAACCTTCTCTGGCTCTCCGACCCCCTAAAGCAGCAGCAGCAGCAGCGGCACCTGCAGCAGCACGTCTGCTGCTCCCGCAGCCATCCGCATTCCCTGCGGCGGCGGTGTTCGCCGAGTAGTAGCGAGGAGGGACAAGATATTCGTCCTGTTGATCTATCTCCTTAATTTTACAGCTAACTCTTCTAACTCCACATTGAGGGGTTCGAATAACTGCCATAGGTCTGGCGCCCCTGGTTGGAGTAGTTCTGGTTCTGCTGCTGATAAGAAGTCTGGTAAAAGTTGCTGGCAAGCCCAGGAGGCTGAGAGTAGTGTGTGTACGCGTTGTAGTTGTAGTACCCCCCGGCAGCAGCAGCCACCGCAGCCTGCTGCTGCTGTTGCTGCTGCTGCTGTTGCTGGTCCGCGCTGCTGCTGCTACCCCCGCGGTGGTAACTGCTGCTCCTGCAACAACAAAAGCAACATACATACAAAAGAAACGCCTAGGAAACACCCACCAGCACAGAAATGCCCAAACCGCACACTTAGCACGCAATCAGCGCCTCTGTTGTTGCACACAGTCTCAGCATATTCGTGTATACTGCCCCTGCTGCTGCTGGCACGACATGCCCTGGGTACAGCTCCCAGTTGCCCCCCAAAACGTAATCCGCACAACCCCAAAACACAGATCTACATGCAGTGACCCGCAACAAAAACTTACAGCTGCTGCTGCTGCTTGAAATTGCTGTTCTTTCCATATTGAGTGGACACGACCGAGTTGCTGTTCAACTGTCCCTGCTGCGGCTGCTGCTGGTGCTGCTGCTCAGCCCTACCCCCAATAGGGCCCCCGGAGCTGCTGCTGCTGGCAGGGGGAGCCCCGCTACTGGCGCTGCTGTAGTGATACTGCGCTCCTCCCGCATTGCCGCTGGCAGGCGGGGTCCCGACCTGAAGAAGCACCACCAAAAACATCGAAATGAAGCAGCCACATTATCCTCTATAAAACAGACGCCATGCACGAGCAGCAGCACACCCACAAATGAACAAGGCCAGCAGCAGCAGCTCTGCATTAACTAACCTTTAGCTGCGGGTGTTGGAAGCTGCTGCCTGAAAATCCTGGAGGCGCAGCAGCAGTGGCAGAGGCTGAGGCTGCAGGGTAGGGGTTTGCTGCAGCAACACCCGCCACATGAAGACTGGGGTTGTAAAAGGTTGAGACGCCTTGTCCTGCTGCCGCCGCTCCGGCCGGAGCTGCTGCAGCGTGCTGCTGGTGCTGCTGCGGGCCCGTTACTCCAGCACCTGCTGCTCCTGCTGCGCCTGTTGCTGCAGGAGCGAGGACAACTCCAGGGGTCTGAGGCGCAGTTGCTGCACCAGCGGCACCAGCGGGTGCTGTACCTGCTGCTGCTGCACCTGCGTACATCTCCGTTGGGGCCCCTCCTGCTGCGGTTGCCGCTGCAGCATCGTCGAAAGAATCCTGGTGTGTGTAAGGAGGATAGTTGTGCATGTATCCCTGGGGGAGGGCTCCCGGGCCTCCCTTGGCACCATAGGGGCCCCCCATAATCCCGTAGTGCGGCAACTGCAAAAACAGCAGCACAAACAAGCACAGAAAAAGCAGCATACACCCAAGATCCAAGATCCAGCAGATGCAGCAGCAGCATCAAACCAGCACATGAGGAACTCGCATAAGCAGCAGCAACAACAGAGGCACCGTTAGGAAAAGAGAATGAAACAAAGAAACCCACAAGATTGCCGTGCCCATAGTAGACGCTATTGTACTGGGGATACGTTGTAAGCCCGTGGTAGTTGGGATAGCTGTATGCTGCTGCTGCTGCTGCCGGCTGCCCCGTGAGGTTAGGCGCCAGGCCAGGAGGAGGCGTGAAGGCGTGTGAGTTGTTGTAAGCTGCTGCTGCTGCAGCCTGCTGCTGCTGTTGCCCAGGGGTGGCCTTGCCACTGTTGTAGTGCTGCTGCTGTTGCTTCATCTCATCGCGCTGCTGCCGCTGCTGGTGAGCGGAGCCGTCCAAAGAACCTCCCGACGGCGGCGGGGGAGGTTGCTGCTTGCCTTGCTGCTGCTGCTGTTGTTGCTGCTGCTGCATTAAAGGTCCCACGCTGCGATTGAAGCCGTTGGCATCTCCCCAGCTCCCTCGCCCGGCCTGCTGCTGCCCGTAGTGCTGCGGCTGCTGGTGGTGCTGCTGCTGCTGCTGTTGCCCATAGTGGTGCGGCTGCTGCTGCCCGTAGTGGTGCTGCTGCTGCTGCCCCCGCCGCTGCTGCTGACGGTCGTGGTGTAGTCTCTGTTCCTGTTGCTGCTGCATGTGCTGCTGTTGCTGTTGCATGTGCTGCTGTTGTTGCTGCATGTGCTGCTGCTGCGGTTCAACACATGAGCGACCAACGGCTTTCTGGCCTGGGTCCGTCTGGTGCTGTTGCAGTAGCTGCTGTTGCTGCTGCTGCTGTTTCTGAGCAGCCTTCCGCTGTGCTGCTTCAATTTCGAAGATGCGGTCCATATCCTGTTGCTGCTGCTCCTGCTGCTGCGGCAGGTAGATGGCACCTGCGGACGCGTCGTACCCTCCCCCAGGCTGCGTCTGCTGCTGCTGCTGTGGCTGCTGCGGCTCCGGCGCAGCGGCCTGCTGTTGCTGTGGCTGCGGCTGTTGCTGCTGCCGTTGCTGCTGCGGTTGTTGCTGTGTAGCAGCATGGAAGGGCTCGAACGAAGAGGAGACCGACCCAAAGACCAACGCCTTAGAGCCGAAGTTGGAGGCCCCTCTAAACCTAGCAGGCATCACAACCGGTTCTGCTGGCGTCACTGTTACAGAAGGCACCGCTGCTGCTTCTGCCGGTGCTGCTTCTGGCGACTGCGGCTTCGGGGAGTGCGGTGGACTCGGCGGCGCCGCTTCTGCTGGTGAAGCTGCCGTTGCTGCTGCGCTAGCTGGCGCTGGAGACGGGCTCCTGGATCGCCCCTGAACAGCAATAGGAGACACCTCCCGCTTAGCGGAGGACGACGAAGGAGCAGCTGAGCTGGCACTCGGCGGAAGCAAAGCCTGACTGTGCTGCTGCTCCTGCTGCTGCTGCTCGGTAGCAGCAGCAGCAGGCGCAGGAGAATGCGAACGCGGCGACGGGGCACACGGAGTGCGTCTGCCTCTGTGTGCAGCATCTGCTGTTGTTGGCTTGGGGCTTGCTGGTGCTGTTGTTGCTGCTGGTGCTGGTGCTGATGATGCTGCTGGTGCTGATGATGCTGCTGGTGCCGGTGCTGCTTGCGCTGCTGCCGGTGCTGCTTGCGCTGCTGCTTGTGTTGCGCCTGCACTCTTTGACAGTTCTGCAGCTGCTGGAGCTGCTGCAGCTGGCGGCTGCGGCTGTGGCGCCGGCCGGATCAGGCGAGCGGCCCAAGTCCTTGGCTGTGCTGCTGTTGCTTCTGCTGCAGCCGCCGGGGCTGCTGGAGCTGCTGGAGGCTGAGATGCGGCATCTGTCTTAGGAGCCGATGGGCTGCGTTGCTGCTGCTGCTCCTGCTTCACACCGCTTGCAGCAGAGATCCCCTCGGCACACTGCTGTTGCTGCTGTTCTTCATCATGCTGCTGCTGCTCCTGACCTTGAGATTGAAGCTGCTGCGTCTCTGCGTTTCCCTCACCTTGAGCCTGGGACGATCCTTTGTTCTCCTGGTCTCTCGCTGCGCATAGCAACACAATAACGCATGAAACAACTTCCTTCTTGCTGCAACTTCCGTGTTGCTGCAACTTTCTTGTTGCTGCTGCAGTTGCAATTGCCCACCGTTCTGTCTCCTCTCCGAATATGTGCGCCTGCCTTGTCCGCGTTGCTGTTGTCTACGTCCTTCGAAGCCCCTGCCGTCTCTGCCCTGCCTATAGCCTCTGGTTTGCTGTCTGGGTCCTGTCTGCTGCGGCTGTTGCTGCTGCTTTTTTCCGACCATCTTCCAGGAACCCTGTTCATGTCCAGTGCTCTCCTCGATCACCCTCGCGACTTCGCTGTGTATGAGATCCTCTCGGTGCTGCAACCGGCGAACAAGCTGGAGAACATCTTGTTTGCTGTAGTTGTAGCACTCTAAGACGGGGTGAACAGACTCCACCATGCTGGCGGTTCTTGGAGAAGCAGAACGCACATCATCTGAAGGGAAGGTCATGCGGATGTCTCTCACAAGGGAGAGATGTGAAGCGACACGTGGGTCTGACAAGGAAGCAGCAGGAGGCGCCTTCTGTGCACCGCCGCCTGCTGCCGTTGTGGCGGCTGTAGACTGCTGTTGCTGCTGTTGCGATGACGATGGAGCGGAGTTCTTCGCCTTCCACTGTGGCGCGCCGCGGGCCCCCCCCCGAGCTCCTGATGGCCTCGCAGCAGTAGCATGGGGGCCCTCCTTGCGCCCTCTGCCAGCCCACTGTTCTGTTTGCTCTGAAGAGGCCCTGGTCTTTGCACTAGAGGGCCCCTGAGAAGCCCCCGACGGAGACGCGAGAGCTGTAGAGCTAGCAGCAGCACCGCCAGCAGAAGCCGCCGCCGCAGCAGCTGCTGCCGCTGGTGTGGTGGCAGGTTCACTCGATAAGGCTGCACCCCCCCTCGCCATTGTACTCCAACTATCTAAGACAGCGTCTAACCTTGTTTATTCAAAAAAAGGAAACGCTCGCAACAAACAGGTTTTGCAGTAGAGATCGCACGCAGTTCTGATGCCTCTCTTGCTGCGCAGGTCGTGCGCCAGCAACAGCAGCAGCTGCTGCTGCATGAGGTGCCCCGCTGCTGCTGCTGCTGCTGCTGCTCCTGCAGCCCTGCAGCACACAGCCAGCCCCACAAACCCACTCATATTCTCAAAAAAGTTGTTATCGAGCTGACAAATAAAGCACCGTTTTAAATTTGGCATTTAAAGAGCAAAAGAGCAGTTTAAGGACCTTAAGCATCTGCGCAGCCGCGCAACCAGTCACCCTACCAGGCCCCCCCACCACGGTGGCTGCTTGGTTGCTGAGGCAGAAAAGAAAACACAACTTCAGGAGGCGTCTCAAAGCAAATCTTATACAATCTTTAAACAGAAAAGAATACACATGACATATGCCTGTGTCCCTTGCAGAAGAAACACGACAGAGGTGGGGACTCACCGGGCTCAGAGGGATGCCGAGAAGCGTGTCCTCGATCTTGTCCGAGGGCTACAGCTAGCTGCAGTATAGCCAGAACACTATACATAGTAGTTTTGTAGAAACATCTGGCCTCCCTCCACAGTGTACAGGCCTCCTGAGCCCAACAACCCAAGCATCTACAGCTGCTGTAGGGGGGACTCAAACATGATCTGGGCAGAGTTGGGTACACGGTCTTGAGAGGGCGCATTGACTCATGCGCGGCCCTAGTAGACACATGGCAAGCAGTCAGGAGGCTTCAAGAGTTCTACAGTGTTCGTAAAGACACCTCAAGACGGCGTGTTGGTGCTTGGGTGTGGGATTGTCTTGCACCCTTGAGCTGCAGCAAAGAGCGTTTGGAACTTATGGCGGCCTCTTCATCTCTCGCAACTCCTGGTGATTGATCCGCTGCACAGATATTCGCGACACGACCGAACGACAATCAGCATGACAGCCTGCAGGGATCAATATTATTCATCACTCGACTTCGTGTATGCGTCCGGCCATGTTCCAATCCATCCCGATAACAGGCGCAACAGCGCATTTCATGCCAATACTCGCAAGCTGGACTACACAATCTGGCCCTTTAACTTCCTGATTGCACCTGCCGAAATGTAGACACACGTCAATAACGATTTCTTGAGTCCCTGTGGTCCGTCGGAATGAGCAGCAGCATCCACAGCACCTGCGACGTGCTGGGTAACTACTCCGAGAGGCGCAGTGAGTTGCCGAGGTGCATGAGGTGCCAGAAGGAAGCCACGCACGTCCGCAGCATTACACTTTCCCACGCAGCTCGCACCAGCACATGAATGTGTGCAGAAAGCAGAGGAAGACCAGTCCAGACACCACCAAAAACGAGTTTTAGTTGCAAGTTTCAACGCAGGTGCTGTTGGTAGATTTACATCAACAACAAAAAAGCGCGTAGGCGATCTAAAGGAACGGAGAAGCTCATTTTACGCTTGGCAGCATCTTTAGCTGTCAATTCTCGGTTCTTCGCGTTGGCATGCATTGCCACGCTTCGGCAGTCTCGAAGTAGCCTCATATTCATGGAGATCCCATTAAACGGTTTATGGTGTTTTTCTAAAATGGTTCATGGAACCACCGAAATACTTCCATGCCTTGCCACAAAAGGTCAGCAACGTCTTGATGACAAGCCACACTTGGAAGGAGGCTAAGCTCTTAAACACACGTGAAACAGTTCGTACATGCCAAAGAGACCAATATTACGTCAAATAACCGGGAGAAAGGCAAGCTGAATGGATGGATATCTGCGGTCCGTTTGCTCGAAGCTATTCCTCACTTGTACAGAGCACCCTTGCGCCGGCAGCAGCTGCAGACATCATGGATCCTAAGGTTGGGATTCGCATAACTATTGGGCGATTGTTGCTGTTTGGCTACCCAAATGGCCCCACTTCCTCTTGGTACGCTTTGTGCGTATTCGATTGTGCCGTCCAAATTTCTCCTTGAACCCCATTTACCAACGCTTTATACAATTGGATTTGGTGGGAATACATCAGGCTATTGAACGGCGCTGAAGTTGGTTCACAATAACCAGGGTGGTACACAGGTGCAACCGCCTCGCCGTACACACACCAGCATAAGCATAGCGCAAAGAAAAGGAGATATGAACGCACACAGCCACGGTAATCTTCGTCTAAACTCAATTTCAGGGGTGTCCTTCCAGTTGAGCCTAAAAAAAATGCAGGACTGGCAACAGCTGAACTGGGGCGTCTTCAGCGAACTAAATAACCCCGGCAGATACGGGAGCCTGTCAACTTCTGGATGCCACATACACCGAATTAGGCTCACTTCTCACCGAGTCCCAAACTTTGTGTGTAAGCAGCAAGCAAACCCAGAATCCTGAAGATGGCGCGAGAGGTAACGGGACGAACTGTTAAAAAGGCAGCGGTACAGAGTCGCAACGAAGCATGTGAAAATACGGCATTTTCTGCTCAGTGGATACCAGTATTTCGCCTTGTTTGTGTTTTGTCGCTGTCTTTGGCTCCTTCTTTGTCCCCGTAGAAGAAGAAGGTAGGGAGGTAACTGATGCGTACAGAGATTAACTGCCGTGACAAAGCCACGTTTAAGCAGGTATTTCCATTTTGGCAAGCGGCTTGACCGCCTAGATGATTCAGCAGTCGGTCCACTATTCGGCTTCTCCGCACAGAAGCAACACCTCCATTCCAAAATAACAGTAGCCTCATATTCGCCCAGCCGGCAACGGTTTATGCATTTTCAGCAATTTGCGTTTGCTCGGCAAACGTTGTCGGGTAAACCTGCGGGCTGTGCAATTATTCCAATGCAACTAGCCACCGTAGGGCAGGCCCTGATCAACTTTCATTATCTAGATAAGACGGGACAGACTATCTGGCCGTCTTATCGTCACCTTTTTTCGTGCACCGCACCCCTCCTACTTATTGGTATTATACAATAGGAAGCCTAGTGTTACGTGGAAGGGGTTAGCACTTCCCTTCGTCTCTGAATATTCCAACCATCAGACAACGTTGCAAATGCAACGAGTACCCGCGAGCAAAGGGCCGTGGTGAGCTGCACAAGAGTCATATATGGAGAGCATGTTGCATTTCGCAGGTGCAACCCACCTCGCAGAAGCCCCTGCTGCAAGCCCACGTGCTGGCACACTGCATAAGCCCTCTTGCTGCTTGCACCAGCAGTGCTTGCAATAGTTTACCATTGCCTTAGCCCCAAACAGAGAAACCTACCCTCGATAATGGATACTTCTAATGACAACATTTAAGCATGACGCCGCAGTGTGGTTCTTGTAACCGTAAGGAGGGAGCTGCAATGCTCCAGCAAATCCGAGGCGTGTTTTAAATGGCAGCAGGAGAGGAAGTGCGGGCTTACAGACTCTTCCGTCTATCTAGAAACTATGGTGCAGTAAGTGTCGATACAGAGGTACTACGGGAGTGGAGTCTCTCTAATGGGAGGCCCCCCAAGTGCATCGCACACAGCTGTAAGCAAGTATGATCTTCTTCTTAATTTCTCCGGCGCGTTGTCGTGCTCCTATTTTGACCTGGTGCCGTTTGTTTCAATAATTACTTCTAAGGATATTTATGGTGCTTCATACCAGCAGCATGTAGCATCAATGTCTGTATAGAAGTGTGATGATGCAAGTCCTGTGTAGCCACTCACTCACTGCTCCTCCACAGTGGGAGGCGGCGGACCCAAGGAAAGCCCCCAAGCTTGTTGTTGTTATAATGATATTTTAGAATATAGATCTGGTATAAAGACTTTTCTTTTGTTCTTCTAGTTCTGCTGCTGTCTTTCTCCTCTAGTACGAGGTAGCAGCTGTCGCGCTCAGACAAAGGAGGCCCCCAGATGCTGCAAACCCTAAACCCTATACTGTAAACAATAAACCCTCCTACTTCCACCGGCTGGTTTTAAGCCCCAAATCAAATACCAAGACTCCCGGCTCCTTTTATCCCAAGAGAGCAGCATAGTGCTTTGAAAAGTTGTTTGCTGGGGCCCCCAGTGCTGCCGATGCAGTTGCAACGGCAGCAGCAGCAGGCCCCTGCTTCCCTCTGCTTCTCGTTCGGCATTGTTTTACATATACCCTAGAGGGATAACAACTATCTGCACACGACGCATGCTGCTGTCTGGGGAGGGCCAGCGGCGGGTCTGTAGGAGGAGACATGCAACAGCCGCAGCAGCACGTGCAGCGCAGCGCGGAGGCAGCAGCTTTTTGGCAGCAGCAACACACCCAGAAACAGCAGCTGCAGCAACAACACGTGCAGCACAAGCTGCAGCAGCAACGCGTGCAGCAGCAGCTGCAGCAGCAACACGTGCAGCAGCAGCTGCAGCCACAGCAAGCGCAGCGCCAGCAGCAGCAAGAGTATGGATTTCCGCATAGCAGACCTCCTCAAGAGGCTATGCTCCCGAATGAACACTCCTTTCAACCGCTGCAGCAGCTGCAGCAGCTGCAGCTGCAGCAGCTGCAGCAGCAGCAGCACATGCAGCAGCAGCAGCACATGCAGCAGCATCAGCACATGCAGCAGCAGCTCCAGCCCCACCATGTGCAGCCAAGCCCAGCTACACTCCATCAGCCTAACGAGCACCCGTACCTACAAGACCAGCAACGGCACATGGGTATCTCCGTGGCTGTAGAGCCTCCCGAAGCCCCTCAGCAGCAGCAGCATACGGAGCAGCAGCAGCAGCTGCAGCAGCGCAAGAGCTGCGTGTATGCTGCTTCCGTAGACGTGACAAAGCGAGTGCCTCCTCCGCTGCGTGAGCGGCAGGTTGCCGCCGGTGCAGCGAGTGAGCCTCTGCCCTATGGATCAGCTTCTGCTGAAGCGGCAGCAGTAGCAGCAACACTGCATCCCAAGAAGATTGAAATGCGTTTGTTTCTCCGACGGCTAGGAGGGAGGTATGTTACAGAGGCCGGAAAGGAGGAGTTGGCTTTGACAGCAAAGCTGAAGGAGCTACAGGAGGAGCTCAACCGCGTCCAGGCGCAGATGGGGAAGGGCCCTACTGTTCAGCAGCAAAAGGAACCCCACAAATGCCTGTGCGGAGCAGCGTGCTTGGAGGCTGCTGCTGCTGCTGCAGCAGCAGGAGCTGATGTTGCTGCTGTGCTACAGCAACAGCAACAGCAGCCACTGCACGGAGACACCATCCTGTACGAGATGACAAAGTTCCAAGATTTGGTTGACGACGAACACAAGGAGAAAAAGAAGAATTTTAGGAATGTCGCAGGTAATCAGCAAGCTTGCATTCGTTTGCTGCAAGTGCTGCTATCCCTGCTGAGTCGGCTGCTGCCGTTTACTTGGCTGGGCATATTGATGCTCCTGCTGCTGGATTCGCCGTCGCAGTTATTTGTGCCCCTCCTTTTGTTCCTGCTGCTACTTTTGTTTAAGGCGCCACATTGTTAGAGGGCGAAGTTTGATCGTACTGCTGCTGCTTCAACAGCGAAAACAACGGCAGCTAGAGTAGCAATGACAGGAACCGGAACCGCAACAACAACAGCAGGTTTCCGTGTTTGAATTGTTCCATTTTTTGCAGGTTTGTGCAAACGTAAGGTGGAGGGTCAGCCGAAGCGGCAGGGGCAGAAGCAGGAGGAGATGGAGCGCCAGTGGCGGCAGCAGGCAAAAGTGTTGAGTGGTGGGGTTGCTGCTTTTTGGTTAAAAGTTGAACGTGTAGTCTGGGAGGACCAGAAGAGATCTCTGCAGTCGCAACTGCAGCAGCAGAAGGAGAAAAACTTCGATCGATTCGTCAAGAAGGCGTTGAAAGTCTCCAGGGCCATTGCAGGAGGCATTAGAAGGGTACAGCAGCAACAGTACAAGCAACAGCAGTAGTACCTAAAGATGGGTTGCTGTCGCTGTCGAATCATCTACTTAAAAGTGTCCTCCCTTCTGCTGCATGTGCATGCCTTTGTAGATATATTTGAGTCCGTTGTCATGTGATTGTCGTTAAACCTCTTGGTTTGTGGCGCAGGGGTTTTGGTTCGATATGGGACTTAGCGGCCTGCGGTGTATGCGTTGTTCAGGCGCAAGATGAGGGACTTTACGGGGGAAGTTGCTTGGGTGGGACCCCTGACGGTGAAACGACTCATGAAGAAAGTACGCAACATGCACAGCAGCAGGAACAGGAGGAAAAGCAGCCGCAACAGCAGCAACGGCATCGACGACGATTGCAGTCACCTCGGGGCTCAAAAGAGGCCTCAAGAGACGGTGACGAAACAGGCAAGGCGAAAGGAGCAGCAGCAGCAGCAGCACCAGGTGAAGATGAGGACTTTGAAGCATCAGGAAAACAAGCGGAGAAGCAGGAGGCGGAAGACATGGAGCTTGATGCTGAGATGGAGAGGGAAGAAGAGTCGGGAGCAGACAACGTGAAAGAAGGTGACGAGGCAGGCGACCTGGAGAAAGAAGCAGAGGAACCGCTAGAAGAACTGCTGAAGTATGGCGAACGCTTTCCTCTACTATATAGCTGTTTCGCTTCTGTTTTTTTCTGTCCTCTAGGTCATGTCTATATGTATGACCGCTTCACGGTTCCTCTCTTCTGTATGTGACCACCCGTTGCTGCGTTTCTCTTGGTTGTTGTAATCCGTATGTCATTTCTCCGGATCTACATAAGCCTAATGTATGTAGATGATACAGCACTTTATTGCCTCCTCTGCGGGTGTGATTCACCTCCGTTCTTCTTTTGGGAAGGCGGGATCGAATGTTTCCGCGAGTCTCTTTTCCACCGATTGGACTTGTTGTTGCACGCTTTGGCGGGGGGTTGGTGGTCCTTTTACTGGTCTTTCGTCCTCATGCCCTTTTGCTGGTTTGTGCGGCTGCCTTCATATATATTATATTGCAGCAGCATTCTTCCTGCATTTGGTGCCTTTGTTGCTGTATTCATGGTACATTGCTGCGGTATCCATCTCTGTGTCCTCGTTTTGCTGCTGTCGCTATGGTGCTTTCGCTTATTTCCTTGTGTCCAGGCGCTACGGCTACTCCAGCGTTGCGGACTTCCGCCAACGGGGCAGAGACGAGACCGGAAGCCAAGAGGATGATGACGCTGAAGCTTCGTCAAATGCGGAGGAGCCAACACCAGAAGAAACCACACCGGCAGCAGAACCAGTACCAGCACCGGAGGCAGCAGAAGCAGCAGAGGAAGTGGCAGAAACAGAAGCTGAGCCCCAGCCTCCTACCCCACGCAACAGTACGCGACCCCGCCGAGCGGCCAGTCGCCGGGTGCTGGAGCAGTTTGAAAATCTTCAGAAGGAGCAACAGCAGCAAGAAGGCCAGACTCCGGAAGAGGACGAGGAGGGTTTAGCAGAAGGCGGCGAAAACATTGCTGCTTTAATCAAAGAAAGAGATGAAGAGGATTTACAGCTTGACCAAGATATTCACTCAAGCGAAGAGGAGTCTGAAGCGGGCGCAGAGGACCTCATGAACGAGGCAGATATGCCTCTTAGCGAGATTCTTAAGTGAGCTATATATTA